CTGTCACAGAATAGGCCATTGCTCTGTCACCATGTTTATCAGTTTTCTGGGAAACCAGCTGCGTTACAAGAGACAAGACCTATTTCTTCATCTGGTCTGTGTTTCCTGGCTGGCTTCAAGGCCATCTTCTGAACACACATGCACATTTGGGGCTATGAGAAAACGCATGGACCAGTTGGTTAAGTGGCCTTTACACTTGTTTACAACTTAGTCTATAGTTGATCCTGAGGAAGATTAATTTATACTCCTTCCTAATTTGTCTGTCACCAGATGTCCTGTAGAGATTTCAAGGTGCATACTTGAATGTGCCACACACCTGACTGCTGGTTTCTGAGCCCACAGGCACCTCTGCAGAACTAGGTTATGAGGAAGATGGGACTATTGCAATGGGTCAGTCTAATCTAGGTGGGCACAGAGGGATTAAAGCCACAGGGACAGCATCTTGTCTTGGCACATTGAAGGTGATGAACATGCTTGCAGATCTCAGCCAGAAAGTCTCCAATGGCATGAACAAATACAACTTGAAAACAATATGCATTCACCCTGGCAAGTCCTGCAGAGATACTAGCTTTCGGCTGCTGAGATCAAGCAGCCTGAACTATCTGGAATGCTGGTCACCATGTTTCACAGCAGCTGAAATATTTAGCGGTGCAATCTACAAGGATCATAAATAGGAATATTAAATTCCTGAAAGAGCAGATACAGGAAAATATTTCTCTTAATGAAAATCATAAACAAATGCAGTTCTTTCCAAATCCCAACATCTTCTGAAACTGTTCTCTGAGCAGAAACATCTGTCTCTTGGGTAAGACCAAGTCTTTTCTAATGTAACACAGCCGCTGATTTTCTTCCTCCCTTAATCTGCTTTTATCCTTGTCAGCTGTGCCAAGGGTCTGTGCTGAAATTGCCAGTTCTTAGCCATACGCTATGGGCACAGTGGAATGTTGAGATATGGATAATCAGGTTTTGCAGACTTGAGAGTGGGTGTCTGAGTCTCACAGTCTCCCTTGTTCCCATAAGCTCCTTCAGAACATGCTGTGGAGGATAATCACTCCTGTGAGTCTTACCAGTTTCAGAATCTTGCACAGTTTCCTAGTCACACTCTGCCTCATTTTTGAGTGTCTTTCCTGGAGATTAAAATTCAACACTGTCTTTCAGTATGTATGGAGGCACAAATGTGTTACATCTTCTGTGCAGGATGCTTTCATTGAGGTGCAAGGGCATTTGAAACACGTGTTTGGAACAAGATGCTCATTCTTTTTCTGCCAGTACTTAAGAATTGGCTTCTGATTTGGGGTGTTTGGCTCCAGATAACTGCTAGAACCTAGTCTGCAAAGGCATCAGATATTTACACCACCAGAGGACATGTGAGAATTCTGCAAGCTTACACTGGTAGCTGCTTACACAGATGGCTGTTCTGCTCCTGAACCCTGCACACTGAAATAAAACAGGCACAGATGATGGTCATGCATACTCATAAAGTGCTAAGTGCTTTAACAATTCCGGATGCATGGCTGGACACAAGAGGAGATGTAGGAAGCAAATCCTTATCAGGACTCCAACTTGAGTGCAAATGAAGAGCAATACTCACTTTCTCTGGAGCAGTGGCCTTCATTCTCATTTTATTTGTGGGTCCCTAGCAAACTTCCAGTAGGAAAGTAGGCTTCCCCATACAGCAAATATTAGTTGTCTGATAATAGCTTTCCTTTTCTAATCCTAAAAAGGTGCTCAAGTCCCAGGACTAAAACTGCTGCTGTAGACTGTCCTGTTGTGAACAGTGTCACAATCTCAGTCATTCTTCAGGTGACTGAAGAGGAGAAAGGAAAACCCTTTCTGAAAAAGGTAGTTCTTTTCCCCTCTCAAAGAAGCGTCCCTCTTTGTTCTTGTTATTCCCGCTTTGACTGTCGCCCTGCAGGGAGGGGCTGCAACAGAGGGAACTAAAGGCTTGGACTCCTCTCCTGCTTCTCTCAGAGAGGTGCTGGCCCTCTGGCAGTGGTGAAATGAAGATCTTCTCTCAAGCAGGGTGTCTTGGTTTTGGCTGGGATAGAGTTAATTTTCTTCATAGAAGCTAGCATAGTGCTGTGTTTTGGATTTAGTACCAGAAGAATGTTGATAACACACTGATGTTTTCAGCTGTTGCCAAGTAGTGCTCAGACTACTCAAGGACTTTTTGAGCTTCTCCTGCTCGCCCAGGTGCATAACAAGGTGTGAGTACAGCTCAGCTAGGACAGCTAACCCAAACTGTCCAAAGAGGTATTCCATACCATATAACGTCATGCTCGGGGGGGTTAGTTGGTCGGTTGGTCGCAGGGAGACTGCTCGCTGCTCGGGGACTGATTGCGGCTCGGGACGGGCTGGGTATCGGTCAGTGGGTGCTGAGCAATTGCATTGTGCATCATTTGTTTTGTATATTCTGTTATCATTCTCATTATTACTATTATTATTATTTTCTCTTATTAAACTGTGGCACCCAATGTGGGGCTCGAAGGGCTTGAGATAACGACAGACTAACCAGAGAATATTAAGGAATTTATATCTGTTAACAGTTGTGGGTCGCGATTTGATTCATTTGTTTTCGATCTCAGTTTTTCCGATCTGCACCATGCTCCTGCACCATTGCTGTACTTGTTAAAAGTTGGTGTTGGCTTTTGCAGTTTGCTGTGCTCTGTGGTGACTAAACATGTTTTGCTTGGGAGACTTGTTGTTAAAACAATGACCTTGAGCCTTATCTGGTATTGGCTTCATGT